CATTTAAAAGGCCAGTTAACTAGTAATATTTGAATAGATTTCCAATTTTGTTCCAATTACATCAAAATTTTGAAAGAAATGTAGCCAGATGTTTAAGAATTGAAGCACCAAATCTAGTCCACGTGAATCGGTAAGCTGTCAAGAAAGTAGTGCTTAAAAAATTAGTCAAATGTCAAAAGTCTCCTGCATTTTCTTCATAAGAGAGCCGTCAGAAAATAGCCAGATTGGGGGACAGTGCCAAAAGGAACTACCTGTTAGCAAGGCAGCCGACGACTTCCTCTTCGAAGAACTTTTGGTAACGCCAGTACCAATTTACCATCGAAACGAATGAACGAGTCCTGGAAGGGCTACTTTGGCAGAGACTACTGGCAGTAACTTTTTTTCTGGTAAAGACTACTTTCGGCCGTGTGCATAAAGAACAGCTACGCTTCCTACAGCGCCATGTCTAACAGCGCCTAGAAAACAAGATTTGCAGTGTTTCAAAAAATGCACTTTATGTTCGCGAGAAGGGACGAGTAGAAGAAAAGGAAAGGATGGTAGTGAAGAAATGAGACTTTAGGAACTGTGCAATGTCCAGAAGCAGTAGCAGAAATGAAAAGTGTTTAACTGCAAAAAAATTTCTGGGGTATTTTAAATTCCAGGAGGAAGTACTTGACGCCTCCTTCTTTATTCGGGAACCTCTTGAGCAGTTTTGGGCAATAAAGTATTCCAACAAGTCACTTCAAAACTGGTCCAAAAATAGGACTCAAAAAATCATAAATTTTATAAATTTGTTGGATGAACAATAACAAAAAAAAAGCCGCAAATTTTTTGAAAAAACAATATGCTGCTGTCGCTATACCTGAGTACGATCGATGGCAAAACATTAAGAATCATTTTAAAAATCTTTCTTCGCCTCTAGCCCTCAGCACCCTCTCTACTCTATTGTCGCTGACAGTGCACCTGGTTGGTCAGCACACTAAAACTGTTTCAAAAAAAAAAAGTGAACTGGTTTTCGAAAGTATGGCGAACCTATGGCAGTTATTACAGTGCCGCGCCAGCTGAAGGGCAATTTTTAGGAATTACTCTTGGTTCAAAGCACGGAGTTAAATGTTTATGCACCGGACCCGTGCAAAAAATAATTCTCAAAGTGGTGGATTGGACTTTTGGTATCGCAGAGTTTTGCGGAACTGATTTCACACAAGCAAAATTTTCCTCAAAATCGTGCGGAAAACAAATGTTCTATAAGTAAGGGTTTATGGATTTTTTTGCTTGGATCCGTTCCATACTAAGAACAGCAAATGGTTGATTACTGAGGACTGTTTTGCACACAAAGAGACGAAAAGAATTGATGAGGCATAAAAATCATTGGGAAAAGCGCCGCAGTTTCACTGAGTAAGGGATTAGGATAAAAGGTACCGCCTTTGCCGTTAATTTGACGCTCTCCCTCACTGACGGTTTGGAATTGCAGGTTGACTTGCGACACTGAGCAAAAAAGTAGCCGACGGGTTTGGCGGCATATGTGGTTGTGACATA